CAGTCTGAGCTGCTCTTGTCCCATCTTTCCTTCCTTCCTTTCTCTGGTGTCAGACCTCTGTTACATTCTCAAGACTCACCTGCTTCTTGCCATTCATCTTTCACAATAAATCACTTGTCCATCTAATCCTCCCTCTGCCTCTCAGAGAACCTTGGCCAACACAATTTGGATAACTGTCATTTTATTAGAATATTTGCTTCTGTATCTAGGAGTGAAATTGGTCTACAGTGTATGTCGCTCATTGTGCCCTTATCTAATTTGAGTTTAAAGTTATGCTATTGTTTTTATCCCCTTTACAGTTTATGTTGAAACTGAATTCCCTACACATAAGTATTGTGAAGTATGGCTTTTAGGAGGTATTGAGTCATGAGGGCTCCACATTGTGTCCCTATAAATGACCTCACAGAAAGAGGTCACTCCTTCTTATCCCTTCTGTCCCTTTCATCTGAGGATATAGCATCTGTCTCCTCCAGAGGATGCGATGACAAGGCATCATCTTGGAAGCAGAAACTAGGCTCTCACCAGACACCCAGCCTCATGTAACATTGATCTTGGACTTCTAACCTCTGAGGATTTCTGTTCTTTGTGGATTACCTAGTCTCAGGTATTGGGTTATAGAAATATGAATAGCTCACAATATCCTTATAATGATCATTTTTTATGATCAAGAAATTGTTTACAATATCACATTTGCATGTTTAATGGCTTGACAGAACTCATTTATCAGACAACCTGTTTTTGCTATTGTTTTTCAAAAGTAATAACATTATTCAGGTTTCCTGTGTCTTCCTGATCTCTAGAACTCTGTTACAATAATTTCTGTTGTTTAAACAACACTATCTGTGATATTTTGTTATAGTAGCTAAACAGCACAGTGCAGACCCTTTAATTAGCAGAAAGCTGGCAAGTTGGAGAGACAGCCTCTCTGGGACCTAGTGTTTGATTTCCTTGCTTGTTTCAGGAATTCCATGAAGGCTCATTAGGGAAGGGGTTGTTATAGTCTTTTGGGGTTGCTATAACATATGTATACCTTATATTGGGTAGCCTAGAAACAACAGAAGCCCATTGCTCACCAATCTATGGCTGGAAAACCATGATCTTGGTGCCAGCAGATTCCATGCCTATCGAGAGCCTGCTTCCTAGTTTATTATGGTGACTTCTGGCTGTGTCTTGCTGGAGGAAGTGGCAAATAAACTCCTTTAATAAGTGTCCAAATCCCATTGTTGAGAGCTCTACAGCTTACCATGGGGACTGTGAAATCTGGGGGAATACTGCTCTGCCCTCATTACTAAATCACCTCCCAAAGGCTTTAGCTCTGAGTATCAGTCACATGGGAAGCAGGTTTCACTGTATGCCTTTTGGAGGGATGCAAGCCTTCAGACTTCAGCCAGAGTAGAAGCTGATGTTCCCTTGCACTTTCCACCATTACTGGCCATCACCCTACAGCTATCGAGAAGAGATTGGGGTCCTTGGTATCTGCATTAAAGGCTGCTATGGGAAGGTGGGTCATTGTCTTATATTTTAGTTCAAAACATTTGCTTGGCCAATAGCCTCTTGCAGCTATCCCTGCCCTAGAAAACTTGGCAGGACCTCACATTTGCAGTATTCCTCCATTTCCACAATCCCCACAGTAAACAGTTTAGACTGGGCTTTATGTCATCATTTCTTCTCCACACCCCCTGATTTTTTAATATCTCCTTTAATCCTGGATTAATGTAATACATAAAGGAACCAAACATTAATTTCTGCTTTCACCCTAGGTGGTGAGAACATAGTCTCTTTTTATTAGTTTTTCAAAGTAGAAGATAAGGAAAATGCTAACAGTATAATTAAAGATAAAAATAAAAGAAGACTTAATGAGATTTGAATTCCTATGAGATGGGCTCCTGCGAGGCTTTCCATTAAGGTCTAATTTCTGACAGTCACAGATAAGGGAGGCCAGTTCTCCCTCTCTGCATGTCCCCATTCCTGAGATGTGATTATTCCACAGAGCTGTAGGGGTTTTGAAGGCTGGGAGCTGTGAGTCTCAATGTGTGCTGCAGAGCTCCTTGCTCTCTTGGTCCCTCTCAACCCCTGCAAAATATGTGACTTGATCTTTAAAGGTTTTTTAATACTAAAGGGTAATGTAAGTGGAAGTAAATGAAGATGTGGCCAGGGGAGTCCCAGGGTGACTCTCATAAGCTGAAGGTGGTACACAGAGGGAAGAGGAGACAGAGAAAAGAGGTTAGGAGCCACGGAGAACAGTGCCAAATGGTAAAGGAGAGAAAGATTTCTTTTAAAACACCCTTACATTATTTTCCAATACTGTAGACATGATTCAGTCATTACAAATCTGCTGACATAAAATGACTGGTAATAGCATGGACAGTAATATGCCATCATATTTCTTGTCCACAATACAGAAGAGGATCTGTATAGCTTTGAGATACACATAGGGTTGACTTTCTTTTACTCTTTCTCAGGCTGGTCTTGAACTTGCAGCAGCCTTTCTGCACCTGTTTCCCCAGTCCTAGGATTACAGGCATGGGCCACCAAACCCAGACTTTCAGAAGTCCTTAGGGACCTAAACACTGTTTTCTACCAGCCATGTCAATTACCACTGGACATGTCTGTTGTTGTAACATGGGATGTAAGAGAGCCAGGCATTTTACAGATCCCATTCCTTTTAGATTATTGTGGAGATACAATGACCATGTGCCATCTGTTGTCTAAATTGGCGATTTTGTGAGTCAGAAAGGGGCATTCTTAATAATTGTGCTGAGGGCTGAGGATGCAGTGTTCCTTGTAAACCTGAAGATCTAAGTTTGATCCCCACATAAAAAGCTGGGAGCAGTGGTTCACTTTTAATTCCAGTGCTGGGGACGCAGAAACAGATGGATCCCTAGGCCTTGTTGGCCGGCTTCCCTAACCTTCTTGGTAAATTCCAGAGAGTAAGAAATCCTGTCTCAAAAAGAAGGTGGATGGTACCTGAGTAGTAACTCCCACTGTCAAGGATGAACACACACACACACACACACACACACACACACACAGTGATGATATGAAAGGCATAAACTGTGCCTTTAGTGGCTAATGCTTTCTCTACTCCTGCAGTACCCATAACTAGGCCACAATAGAAATCACAACTCATTCCACTGCCTGTGGGCAAGGCTTTGAGTGAATTCCCTCAGCAACTCCAGGAGAAGTAGATGCAAACAAAGCAAAATTACAACCAGTACCTCTTGTATATTAGTCCTGAAGGAAAAGGAAGTGATAATATTATGGGAATTAGAAGCTTAAAGGAGTGCGAGAATGTACCCTAAGACTTCCATTCCAGAGCACACACTATCAACAGTCGCAACCCTGTTTCCTGCAGACAGTACCTTCCCTCCTCTCTTTACATCAGTTCTATCCACATCTCTAAGTCCAGCTCTCATTGTACGGCCTCCAGGCTGCTTTTCAGGACTGCTTTCCTATTGTTTCAGGCTTTGAAACCTTACGCACGTTGAGCTGGCATTGTTCTAACATGTGATTCACATACAATGATCTCATTTCCTCAGAGGAAAAGCTAGGAATTTTTATTTTATGACTAGTTTCATTCTTCAAACATGAAAGTCACTCACAATGTCTTTACCATAGACACCAGCTTGAATAACATTTGGGATGGCTGCAGGGGTCAGACTTGAATGATGGGTTGTAAATTTTTTTTAGTATCTTTATATGTATACAGCTAGACATATAGGTAGGAATCTCTTATAGAATATATATTTATGCATGAAAGCAGTCCAGTTTCATCAACTGAACTTGGGAACTTGCTCCATTCCTCTGCATCTTTTTCATTTGTTAAAGGCAGTGTCCCACAATCCAAGCTGGACTTGAACTTGTGACATGGCAGGGGATACCCCTGCCTTCCAAGTGCTGGGATTACAGGGATGCACCGTGACACCTGGAAGTTCCTCTGCATCTTGGCCACTGCACGATGCTTTAACTCACACAGTGGAATTTGTGATATTCACATTCTGTATGCACTAAAAGTCGTCATTTTTAATTTTAGGAAGCTTATTTGTTAGAATTGGAATCCTTCATGGGCGTGGATCCAGCTGATTCACAGAGACCTGTCAATATTTTAATACAATGCTTCTCTTTTATAGATGCCCTTCTTACAGTGGGGTTATGTTTTGACATGCCCAGCATACACTGAAAATGTAATAAGCTGAAAATGTATTTAGAAACCTAACCTACTGAGCATCCTAGCTTAGCAACACATTACACTGCAGACTGGCTGTTGTCTCCCCTGTAATCATATGGCTGAATGGGAGCTGCTTCTGGCTAGCTACCGCTGCCCAACATCTCCTGTGGCCCTGGGGCTCCAGTCCATGAAAATAACACACTGCAAAATACAGCTTCTACTGAATGCCTATCACTTTGACCTCATTGTGAATGCAGCAACTGGAAGTTGAGCTATTGTAAGCTGGGAACCATTTATATAACATCTATGTTAGAGAGAGAGAGAGATTGACATCTTGTGTTTTCTTTTTCTTTAATCACACCCCACTTTACTTTTTGAGTCTCTCACTAAACCTAGAGCTCATAAATTGACTAGACTGGTTGGCCAGCAAGTCCCCAGGGATCCTCCCTAGTGCTGGGATTACAGCCACACACTGCCATACCCTATTTTTTACTGGGTGCTGTGGATCCAAAGTAAGATCTTTAGGGTTGTGTAGCAAACACTTTACTGAGTCATCTCCCCAGACCTGTATAGCATCTATTATAATGTGTATCTGTGAGGTAAAGACTGAACCAGGGTCTGTGCATGTAAGCACACCTCTACCATTAATCCACATATCCAGCCTAAATTAAAATAATAAATAATTGAAAGCAAATGGTCTCTATCTAAAAAGATTAAGCTTAAAACTGATACATTGAATTTATGACTTAAAATCTTAACATGATTTTAGTGGTAAATTAACCACTAGAACCAGAGAATTGTTCAGATATTATAAAATAAACAGTGCATCAAAGAGTATTTCCAAATATTTATTGAAGCAGTAACAAGTTGGTCAGATATTTGCTGGAAAAAAAAGCAGTTTTAATGGTATTCAAAAATACTTTTTAAAAAGTATTCTAGCACAAGACTTCTTTGTAAACTAGATTATGCTGTAAACCTTTTTCTAAATCTTTTAGGAGTGTCGGTTGTTAAGAACTAGAGCTAATTCCTATTCCACATCTATCTTGCGCTCCTGAAAAACTGCAGAAAGGCACTTGAAAGCTGTTTCCTTAATATATGGATTTCTTTTCTCTTCTTGCTGGTACTGTATTGTAGCACTGAATGTGTGCGAATTTTATTCAAGATCATCATGATGCTGAGAAGTTTCATTGATAACCTGTTAAAAAAAGAAATAAAAGTCAAATCAAATATAATGCTACACTCAAAAGTTTATCTCATAAATAAGGGTAAAGAAAAATGTTCCTACACAAACAGAATTTATTAAGCAAGTCAGTTATGCTGATTCCTCATGGCAAGTGTCTTAGCGAAGAGGGTCAGACACCCAGGCAAGATGGTCTTCCTCTGCAGGCAATCTGACTATCTAATCATAACGAAGGAAAACCTTTCAAAAAGCTGTGTTTATGAAGCACGTCCCAAGTGCCAAGATTCAAAAACAACTAAGACATATTAAAATATATGGCAAATGCATTTATATTTTTGTGCAAGCTTAAGATTGGTCATTATTATTAACCATAACCATTTCTTTCCTGGCATGGAGAGGTAACAAAGAACTGATCATATGCCACATGCTTGTACTATATAAAGAGGTGAGTGACAGTCAGTAAAAGAGGACCATGTGTCCAGGAGGAAATCATCCCTGATATTCATTCCAGTCATTAGATGAAATAGTTTAATGAAGTTCACCAAGGAAGTAACTTAAAGAAATTTCACTCCTACTTCAAATGGAGCACCACGGATAATCAGTGATGCTGGAGTGCAGGAAGATTGACACCTCACTGTCACATCTGCATATTGGTGAGACTGGGGCCCATTTTTCCACTAGGCATGAGTGCAATGGGAGTCTCTCAAATTAGCTACCTGTACCTGATACGCAAACTAATGAATTAAAATGGAGTCACTGCCTATCTAAAGTGACTACTTTTCTTTTACTTTGTTATTCTTTTTATAATTTTTTTCCCATGATTTATTTAAAAGATACCAACCTGTCCATCTCTGGTTTCAACAGTCTTGATCAGAAGAGTCCTTTTTGAGTGGGTATCAACCAGAGGGAGTGAATCCAGATTAGTCTCTGAAGAAAGAAGCAAGCCCAAATGAGTAAAACAGAAAGCTTATAAGGCAACTATTTTATCCAAAGCATGTCGATGTTAAGTTTTTTTCAATTGTTTAAAGCCCCACTCCTCAATAATCCTACCAACATACACTTAATACCACCTTACTCAGGATGAGATACTAGTTCACTGTGTATTCCATTAGCAAGAAGCAAACTGGAGTTTGCACTTAACAAGGTATGGAATGCAAGAGTATGCTTAAATTTGAATACTAGGGATGAGGTCTAGAGAGATGGCTCAGCAGTTAAGAACACTGGTTGCTCTTACAGAGGACCCGAGTTCAGTTCCCAGCACCCACATGGTGGCTAGTAACTGTCTGGGACTCCAGTTCCAGGAGGTCTGATGCCCTCTTTCGGCCTCCCCAGGCACTGCATGTATACGGTGCACTTATATACATGCAGTAAAAAAAAAAAAAAAAAAAAAAAACACTCATGCACATAAAATAAATAAAAAATTTTACAAAAAAGAAAATTAGGGATAGTATGTTCGGAGCATAGCTCAGCAGTAAAGCACTTGGTTCAGGGCCCTGGGTTCAATTCTTAGCACTACATAAAAATAACAATATGTACAGTGAAATATAAACTGCAATAAAAATGAAAAATTTGGATGCGTCACAGGAATTTTTCGTATATAGAATTTTTCAGATATATAAAAGTGAGTGTTTCATCATAAAAAGAATGACTATAACCTCTGGACATTTTTCATAAAAGGAAGTGATATGCTTACCTCTCAGGTTCAGGGATGCAAAGCTTGGTAGAGGCAGAGAAATCCTATGAAAAAGAGAAAAACAGAGAAAATAGTTGGAAAAATGATACTTCAAGAAGGAACAAATTTTCATAGGTCTTGTTTTCATCAAAATAAGAAAAATCTACTTTTGCAGTTCATTTGTTCGAGATTTGTTTCAGAAACATCTATGCATGGTTGGTCTCATTAGCACACTTAAAACACTGCAAGCAATCTGTTCACAGGGGAATGGACTATAGGAATTTTAGAGGAGAAAGTATTGGCTTTGGCAAGCTGTAGGTTCAAATCTCAGCTCTGCTATTAATTAGCTCTGACTTCTCCTCTCAACATGAAGTCCTTCACATATAAAGAAAGGAGCTCCACCGAAGAAACATTCTAAAGAGTAAATGAAATAACAGAATGTGTGGCAGAGTATCTAGAGAGAAGAGGAGGTATTACTAAGTCTGTGGGCCCCACCTGCTCTCCTCGCCTTCCAGCAGCTTCCTGTAGGTGGCAATCTCAATGTCAAGAGCCATCTTAACATTGAGCAGGTCCTGGTATTCACGAAGGTGACGGGCCATCTCTTCTTTCATGTTCTGAATCTCATCCTGCAGGCGGCCAATAGTGTCCTGGTAGTTAGCAGCTTCAACAGCAAAGTTCTCTTCCATTTCACGCATCTGGCGTTCCAGGGACTCATTCTGCAGGGAGGGAGAAGAGCTTCTGATGTGATTTCCCAGAAACCTCAGTGTGCTAGATAGCTTTAATTGTCAACTTGACACACCTGGGTTGAGGGAACCTCAATTGGGTAATTTCCTCCATTGCACTGGCCTATGGCTATGTCTGTGGGGTATTTTTTTTTTTTTTTGGATTGTTGAGTGATGTGAAAGGACCCACCCCACTGTGGGCTGTATCACCCCTGGGCAAATGGTCCTGTGTTGTATAAGAAAGCAGGTTAAGTACAGGCTGGGGAAGCAAGCTAGTAAGCAGCCTTCCTCCATGTCTGTGCTTCAGTTCCTGTCTCCAGATTCCTGTCCTGATTTCCTACCTTGGGCTCCATGGGTGATGAACTGTGACCTGGGAGATGTAAGCCAAATAAACCCTTTCCTCCCCAAATTGGTATGGATCAGAGTGTTTTGTCACAGCAACTGAAGTCAAATTAGAATACCCAGCTATCCCCAGAACCTTACAAACATGTGCAATAGCTCCCCTACTCTTCTCTCTCTCTCTCTCTCTCTCTCTCTCTCTCTCTCTCTCTCTCTCCCCCCCTCCCTCTCTCTCCATTGTGAGAGAAAGTCTCACTATGAAGGCCTGGCTGGTCTAGAACTTGCTTTGTAGACCAGGCTGGTCTTGAACTCACAGAGAGCCACCTGCCTCTGCCTCCCTAGTGCTTAGATTAAAGGTGTGGACCACCACACCTGGCCTCTTTATGGCAGGTTCCCACTCTAACTTTGGGTGGAGAGTACAAGAAGCAAGTCCCATATTTTATTCTGTTTTGTTGAGATAAGATCTGGATTGGGAGCCCAGGCTGACCTTGATCTTATGATCCTCCTGCTTCAGTCTCCCAAATGCTAGGATTAGAAGTGTACCTCTGTGCCCAGCTCCAAAGCTCCTCTTATTGCAAGCAATATCGTTTGTAAGCTAAGACATTCAAGATATCTACCAAGTCATTTTTAGGACTGTCTTCCTGACTCATTTTCTTTGAATAACATTATAAATTTTTCTCAATGTAGTTTTTGCTCAAGTATCATCATTAACTTGGTCATCAGAGTGGGGCTGAGTCCTTCATTTTCCCCTTTTGCTTCTGGGCAGTACTCACAGTTCCTTTAAGGGCATCCACTTCGCAGGTGAGGGACTGCACTTGTCTCCGGTACTCATTTGACTCCTGCTTTGCCTGGCGCAAGGCATCATTGTTCCGGTTAGCAGCCTCCGAGAGGTCGGCAAACTGTCAGGAAGAAACCAGAAATGGAGGTTGCTCATTTCCATGTCTTTTCACTCTCCTAGGAAAAGCAATCTTGGTTCTGACTCAAGTGTTTTCTAGACTATGTCTAAATGTCTGTTTGGAAAGGCAAAGAATGAGAAGTGGAATGCTGACGTGACTATTTTCAAGCAGCGTTTGCCGCACTTTTTTGAAAATGGAGGAGGACTAGAGCATAGTGTTGAGGGTTTCTTTAAATAGGGTGAAAGGCAGTTAGTGGAAGTGGAGCTTGCTGTACTAAAGCAGGAATCGTGAGTGACAGGGGACTGGAGCAATGATGTCTGTGCAAGTTAAAGCCAGCTATGGAGTAGAGCTAAAGAAAGCATCACGGAGGGGCGTGGTGCCTTCACAGTGTTTCTGTTCCAGCCCCCCTGGATCCTTTCACACCTTCGACTTGTACCATTCCTCTGCCTCCTGGAGGTTCTTGGCAGCCACACTTTCGTACTGCTGGCGGACATCCCGCAGAGCAGCAGTGAGGTCGGGCTTGGAAACGTCCACATCGATCTGGACATGCTGTTCCTGAATCTGAGCCTGAAGCTCCTGTATTTCCTGAGGAAAGAACAGACAGAAGTCAGAGAAGAACAACACGATGTCACTTGATCGCTTCCGTTTGCTGAAAGTGAGTCCACGAACCTCATCGTGCAGCTTCTTCAAAAAGGCAATCTCTTCTTGCAAAGATTCCACTTTACGTTCAAGGTCGAGACGTGCCAGAGAAGCATTGTCAACATCCTAGTTGAAGAGAGAATATGGAGGATGCTTAAGTCTATGTCTTCTCTCATTTATTCATTGAAAATTAACCACGTGAACCTAGGCTCCTGACTACAGAAAAGGTGTTGACAATTTTTGAGACCCTTGAATAAATTAATTATAAATCATTTAGTGCTACTTCTGATATGCTTCCTTAGCTCTAAGACTGAATCGAGAGCCATTGTGTTGTACTGTGGTAACTGAGAAGTTAAAAATAAATATTTGTACACCAACATGGTAAAGCAAATTCTGTTATTACTGACTCCACAGTTTTTGCCAATGAAGTCCCAGTATTAGTTTTTAAACCTGAAATCAACTTTCTATTTTTAAATGAGTGGAGTTTTTTTTTTTTTTTTTGTAATTTTATAATGGCAGTGGTTGACCAGATGTCACAACTTCATGCCTGCATGAGTACATATAGTATGAAAATTTAGCTTCAAAATCTTTAAAAAGGGGATGGGGGTGGAGAGATGGCTCAGGAGTTAAGAGCAATTGCTACTCTTCCAGAGGACGCCAATTTGGTTCCTAGAGCCGCATTGAGTAGTTCACAACTACCTGTGACTGCAGCTGCAGGGGATCCAATGCCCTCTTCTGGCCTCAATGGTCACTGCACCGATGTGACACACACACAGACATACATTGCAAACCAGAAAGTGCACTCTTGCAATTAAAAATTTACTTCTTGAGAATATTTGTATTTCTTTTCCTGCAAGCAATTATATTTGCAGCATAATGTATAGCCTTTCAGTCAGAACACTGAGATACTTCTGTCATCTTCATGCAAAAAATAAAAAATAGTAAGAAGCTGAATAAGAAAATTCACTTCTGTTTGCCATTAAGCCCCCAGAAAGTTATAAAAGATACCTGACTGTCCTCTTTTAAAAAGTTCAAAGGAATATTCCATTTAAGTAAATGAAACCATTTTAGTTAACCCATAAATAAAGAATGTTAATGTTGTATATTAGCTCAGTCCTTTGTGGTGAACATTGCTGGGACAAGAATCATAAATGCTCAGTGACTGAAATGAATCTCACATTGTTGTGCTTTTATGAAGTGTGCAAATATGTTTCACCTTCAAATGTTATCCTAGGCTATTCATTTGGGAGTGTTTTGTAGCCAAACCCAGCAAATGTTCCTGAAGGTAAAACTATGCTGACCAGCTTCCTGTCTAGGGATTCCAATTTTATGTTAACATCTAAAGTTGGAGAAAAAAAGAAAAAAAAAAAACCCTCTTTCACATAAAACTCCATTCTTCAGCCTAGGATTTATTTTTTGTTTGTGTAGAGAGTATTGTAAGTATAAAGCCCAGTGAGGAGTGGCTTTTCCAAATGACCGTGGTTTTAAGAACTTTTCACATCACATATCCCAAGTCTGGGCCAGATATTAGATAAGGGATGTCAGCAAATTCTTGTGTCCAATTAGAATGGTGCTTACATCATTCCATATTCAATAAGAATGTAGCCTGTTGCAAAGCCGCTCTGGGAACACAAAGACTCCTATTATTTCTGTCCAGAGCCACCACATTTGCCGGAAAGTCCGTATCTACATTCCATAGTGAGGCCCTTAGAAACCGTTAATACCCTTCAGCCGCGGGGACAGATGGCTCCTTTTCAGCCTTTTTAGATCACAAAATAGTTCTGCATAGTGATCTTCCAGCTAACTTTTATGCAGCAACAGAACTTCCAGGGAAGAAAGGAAACCTGGCTTAATTCCAGTTAAACTAAGTTTCTCATCCTGCCCTATAATTTATGTTTCAAATTTCTGAGCTATCTGCCTTTTGTGACCTTGTGAAAGCTAGCCAACTTGACTTTCACAAAGCACATTCTAAATCTAACTTTATTCGAACTCAAAATGTCAAAATTTGCAAAAAACAAAGAGTGAAAGGGAGGGGGAATGTTTCTTTGGGAAGAAAAATCAGAAAACAAAGCAAAAAATTGCAAATCGTCATCGGAATGGCTTAAATGGAGTTTTCCTATCTGGAGACTTTCCGCCACCAGGGGGCTTTGCACACAGACATGAAGTTTTGCACTTTAGGAATCTGGGTGAAGTAACTTTTAGAACTGGCTGGGCTGGGCCGCTGGCGGCACCAGGTAGGCGAGTCTACAAACCTGTCTGAAAGACTGCAGGGTGCTCTCGGCCTCTTCCCTCTGGAGCATCTCCTCCTGCAATCTGAAGCAGCAGCGCATTAACCAAAGGGAAACTGGGAAACCGCCAGGGGTGGGGCGGCCACACCCAACCACCACGTCTCAGGGCCGCGAGACCAGAGCTGCTGCGCCACCGCCACCCACACCAGTACTGCAGCGTGTGGAACCGCTGCAGGTGTTTGAGGGAACCCCAGCACAGCGCAGAAAGACAACCAAGGTCCTCGCCTAGCCCTGCAAGGCGAAGTCCCGGTTCCTGGGATCCAGAAACCTCCGGAATCCCTTTGTCTAGCGTCCCTCACACCCATCTCCTCCTCCCGCTTGTTAGCTAGAAACGGCTAGGAAACTTTCTAAAAGTTTAGAGGAAGCGCTCCAATTATGTCCAAGGGCCTCAAATACAGACAACATGGTGCTTTTAAGAAATCTTAGGTACTGAGTGGGGTCCAGAAATAAAAGTTAGCTGCAAAGTGTAGTTTCAGGGCGGAGCTGCTCCCCCTTCCCACCCCCCACACCCCGACTAGGGCAGACAGCCACCGCCCAGGCCACATCCCCAAGGGCGTGGCAGCCCTTGCGCGGGCCTCAGCCCCCCCCACCCCCATCCCACGGCCCTACGACTCGCGTGGGCGCCGCCTTACTTCTCCCGGAGTCTCATGATGTCTTCAGCCAGGTTGTCGCGCTCCACCTCAACGCGGGCCTTGTCGTTGGTGAGCTGATCCACCTGCCGCCGCAGCTCGCGCATCTCCTCCTCGTACAGGTCCCCAAGCCGGGACTTGCCCTGGCCCTTGAGCTGCTCCAGCTCCGCCAGCAGGATCTTGTTCTGCTGCTCCAGGAAGCGCACCTTGTCGATGTAGTTGGCGAAGCGGTCGTTGAGCTCCTGCAGCTCCACCTTCTCGTTGGTGCGGGTGTTTTTGAACTCGGTGTTGATGGCGTCGGCCAGCGAGAAGTCCACCGAGTCCTGCAGCAGTCGGACTCCGGGCATGCTGCTCCGCAGACGCACCGCCGAGGACCGGGACACATAGGCGCCACCCGGGGACGACGAGAAGAGGCTGCGGCTGGTGCTGGGGCGCAACGCGCTGCCCAGGCTGTAGGTACGGGTGGACGTGGTCACGTAGCTCCGGTTGGAGCTCTGCCGGTTGGACGTGCCGGGGCCACCGAACATCCTGCGGTAGGAGGACGAGGACACGGACCTGGTGGACATGGCTGCTGCGGGTGCACTGACCGGCTCGGAGAAGCGAGCGAGGGTGCGGCGATGTGAGCGGTGGAAGCGCTGAGGTGTCTCTGGTACAGGGTCCCCGGAGCAAGAGTGGCAGAGGACTGGACCCCGCCAAGGGAGCTGCTTTTATAACGCTGTTAGGAAAGAGGGTCCCCTCCCACTGCCATCCTAGCCTCTGGGCGCGCCAGCCAATGGGGACCCAGAAAGAAGTGAGGAAGGGGGAGGGGAGTTGGGGCGAGGGCTCCCTCCAGCTTTCCTCCAGGGCCGCCCCATCGGGCTCGGTCCCGTTACTTCTTGGGTTGGGCTAGGACCTTCCTGGTGACGGCTTGAGTTCTGTTCACCCCTGAGTGCTGAGAAAGGGGGGATCGCGTGGTGGGCGAAAGGGGAGATCCGGAAAGTGGAGCAAAGTGGTCCCTGGCCCCACGCCAAAGGGGCGTGGGAAGAGGCGTCTGCTGGGAGGGGCGGGGCTGCGGGCTGCGGGCTGCGGGCTGCAGGGAGGGGTTGGGTGGGGAGACCCCGCGGGCGAGGGAGCAGGAAGAGGGGGAGCGAGGGATCCAGCAGATCAGAAGGCGGAGAGAGAGAAACAAAGAGGGTTCGAGATTGGGGACCAGGGTGGGAACGCATACCGACCAGGAGACAAGGCTCAAGGTCCTGCGCACCAGTGCTTGTAGATGCTTGTTCAGAGACGTCCTGTTCCGGGACCTAACGGACTCGGCCCAACTCCAGAGGCCCACTATCTGCTGCCTCCCCAGGGAAGCCTAGAAGAGAGGGGTGGGGTCGCTGAGTCAAGGGCGGTGACTCATGGCGCCCCGAGCCTAAGATGTAGCGGTTTTTGGTTCAGGGGAAACCGTTAGTTGAGATTGACTCCAGGCTCCCAGAGCTCCAACCACATTGTTCCAAGTTTTTAACCAACTTTGATCTTGGCGAGTCTTCCGATGTGTACCGTCAGGCTATGGAGAGACACGGAGCGCTCCTAAGTCCTTAAGAACTAGCCAAAGTCTGGCTTTGTTCCAATGCGCCCGCATTCTCTTTAGCAAAAAAGTTCTGCAGACCTGGGAGAACCACGGAACCCGCCCCTTTGACCCCCCATCACCATGGAGAACTCACAGGAAAAAGGCTTTTCTTGCTAAATTCCCTCCCGCGCTTCCCTTGGTTCTCTTATTGCTCTTCCTCCTCCGGGCATGAAACCACACCCGACCGAAGCTTAGCAGGACCTGAAAGTTCTGGGTGAAAGAGGAAACTGCGTTGGTAGTTTCAAAAGCAAACTTAATGATCACTCCTTTTTCTGTTAGTGGAAGTCCTTAAACTATAACCTGAGACAATCAAGAATTAATTAGGCGTTGTTTTTAAAAATCCAGTTTGATGTATGAGTTTAAATGAAAGGCAGTTAAGTAAGTCAAGTAATAGAGTGTTTGGAGGGAATAGGTTTGTGTTGATTTTGAAACAATGAGGCACAGGACAGGAGTCTAGTGACTTATCTGGACAACGTCACAGATCCCATTATCTACAAGAATTTGTGCAATCTGACTTGATGTTGGAGATCTAACTGTCCACGGAAAAAAAGATGCAGGAGGTGTTTGGATTCAGCATGGTCACCTTTGAGAGGGAAAGTTAACTCAATGCCCATTGTTTTGATGTTAGTAACTAGGCAGGACTAAGTGGTCCTGAATTTCTCCAAAGCAGACAGAGTAGGAAAAGCAAACCAGATCTCTTGCAGCTAGGGAATTATCAGTTCTTTGGGGGGGGCGTGAGGGGGGGTACTTGTGTTTTTGGAATACTGAAAGAATTAATTGCAAAAGCATTGTGAAATAGATTCCAAGGGGGGGAAAGGTTCTGTGGGGTTTCTTTAGGGGTGGGGGCAGAGAGTGCTTGGAGATTACCTGTCAGTTAAGAAAAATAGCATAGAGCCACGTGAAGGATTTCTGCTAGCTCTCTGGTTCAAGCCTCTTGGAGGCAATAGTTTGTTTACCTCATCCCAGTTAGTTCTAGGGAATGTTGCCAAGGTTGAGCCAGCAGGACCCTCTGGGGCCCAGCAGTCCCTGCTGGCTTTCTGTATTCTCTGTTTCACTGAGGCTGTGGGTCCTTCCCAGAGAGCATTCCTGGTTTAGCCCTTGCCTCACGTTACCATCCTGAGCACTGAGAGCCCTTTATTCAATCCACTGTTCAGCAAATGTCACCATTGTGAGCTTGCCTGGAGCCCTCAGGGTGAGAAAAGTGATTTCCCCATGGGGAGGAGGGAGGTGACCCTTCCTCCTACATGGAATGTTGATCCTCGGGCAGTGCAGTGCTGTTGTCAGGGGACTCCTGCTGAATGACTCACTATGGAAAATTAGGACAGGGTTCTTGTGTGGTGTGGCAATGTGCCATGTGGGCACCCACAGCAAATCCCTCAGGTTGTGACAACTTCTGCTATAGCTCTGGCCCTCCTCAACACCTTAGGGGAGTGACCCCCTCTCCCACACCTGTCCCCTTCTCTAGTCGCAGGGACATCTATGGCTATCCTCCTTCTAAGGTTGATGTCTGCTGATGTCTCTGTAATAGATAAAAGTGTGCATATGAGTGTGTTTATTTGTGTACACACATACAAGGTACAATGGAGCCTTACAATTCAAAGTTGCAGGGTTTGTAGAGTGTAGAAAAGTGAAAGCTACAAAGACACTTTACTTATTTGTGGAGAATGCTTGAGACTTGGGAAATAGTTTGTTTACACACACAGGAAGAGAGAGACAGAGAGACAGAGAGAGAGAGAGAGAGAGAGAGAGAGAGAGAGAGAGAGAGAGAGAGAGAGAAAGAGAGAGAGAGATTCAGCACTTTACCCAGAGTGATGTTCACCAGAGAAGGAAATCAGTGTGACTGGATGAGTGCCCCTGAACACCATAATTCTGCTGTCGATGCTATCTGTGTACATAGAAGCTACTTGCTTCTGAAAATAAACAGTCTACAAACATAGCTTTCTCTGTTTTCATATTTATTTTTGATTGCTATGAAAGCCTATCTTAGAAGTATTTTTAAATGTTGGACTTATGTGTGATGCAAGCTTGTATACAAACAAGTGCATGGTCATATGATTTGCAGGCTAGGCATAAACACTACGATGTCTAAAGTATAACAGTGATTTTGGAATTTGCAAGCTGTGGTCATGTCAGTTGAACTGGACAACTGGAGCTGACAAACCAGGCAGTTGCGAAGACAGGAGCTTAGTGGCCTATGGAAGCTTTAGGAAAGTTTCCTACAGGAGGCCACATCAAGAGGATGGCAGCAGATCATTCTGGGTAGATATTATAAATGAGAAGGAAGATAAAAATGGATAGGCATATTGGTGCTACCTGTAATCCTACTACTTGGCGCAGGTGAAAGCAGGATAATCAGGAGTTTAAGACCATTCTCTGCCTCACAGTGAGTTTGAGGCCAGCCCGGCCTATAAGAAACCCTGCCCCCTCTCTAAAACAAAAAAGAAAAAAGCTTTTAAAAAGGTGGAGATGCTGGGCATAGTGGTGCACGCCTTTAATCCCAGGACTCGGGAGGCAGAGGCAGGTGGATCCTCTGTGAATTTGGGGCCAGCCTGGTCTACAGAGTGAGTTCTAGGCAGCTGGAGCTACAAGGAGACCCTGTCTCAAAAAGACCAAAAAAAAAGGTGGAGATACTATATAGCATCCTATAAACATATGTAATTTTTATGTATCAGAATATATTTAAAATCAAGAGGCTGGGACTGGAGAGATGGCTCAAAAGTTAAGAGCATTGGCTGTTCTTGCAGAGGACCCAGGTTTGATTCCCAGCACCCACATGACAGCCAGCAACCATCTGTAACTCAAGTTCCAGGGGATCCAACACCCCTTTTCACACCTCAGTAGGCATTGTACAACATGGATGCACCTACACACTTGCAGGAAATACACATACAAGTAAAATAAAAATGATAAATATTTTTTTAAATCCACATGCTATGAACATGGCAAACCCTAAACAACATAGTAATAAAGATAATAATAAGTAATACAATTGATCTCCCCAACTTCCAAAAATGGATTTTTTGGTATATTTCATATAATATATCTTGATCATATTAGGCCCCTTCCTCTATCTGCATCTCCCATAGCTCCCCATTGATTTTCATACATTTTGCCATGTATGTTAAGGCCCACCAAGCCAACCTTGTGCCCCCAAATATCCCTCAGTATGCATCCACCCACTGGAGCCTGGTCAAATTATCCAGTGTCACTCTCTTAAAGAAAACGAACTCTCCCTCTCCCAGTAGTCATCAGTTGCCAATAGCTTTTCAGCCAAGGTTGGGCTTTCTTGCCCATTTCCCCACTTCTCTGCTGAGTTTTTGTCTGGTTTGAACTTGTGTGGGTATAGTCCATGCTGTCACCATTGCTGTACGTTCTTATGAGTAACTTCCCAGCTGTCTGAAAAACTATTTCCTTGGGGTCATCCACCACCCCTGGCTCTTACAGTCTTTCCACCCCCTCTTCCACAATGCCTCCTGAGCCCTGGGTGGCAGAGGTCTGATATACTTGTGCTACCTAGGGACACACACTCTGCAGCCTCTGCACTTTGGCCACTGTGGTTTTCTAGGGCAATCATCAGCCATTGCATGAGGAAACTTTGCTGATGAGAGTTGAGAGGTGCATTAATATTCTTTCTGCCCCTGTTTTTCTATGTTCCCTGAGTCTTAGGTGTAGAGATTGCACTATAGAGTTTCATTTAGGGTTGGGCACCTCATAGACATTTATTCTCTGCATTTGACCAATTGTGGAACTTTGTAATAGTTTCCATCTGATGTGAAAAGAAGCTTCTTTGATGAGTTGTGAGAGGTACACTTGCCTGTAAATATAAGGATACATATTTATAATACAGTAAGAAATTACATTGGTCTAGAGATGGGACAAAGATGGTGTTTCTCTAGAATCTATGATCTCTCCAGCCATGTGTATTCAGCTATGTTTACAGTGCCACACATGAATTCTCTCCTGTTGAGAGGACCATAAGTCCAATTAGAGAACTATTTATTACCCCCCCACCCAAATAAAAGTGCCACTACTGCACCAATAGAGACAGTTTTCTGAGCCAGTCATTGTTGTATTAACTGGGCTTTACAAATGGGTAGGACCGTTGACCTGCTTCCTTCCTTGGCAGCTTGCATAGTATCCTCTGATACCGTGAGAGATAATCCTCAGGGAGAGGCTTCCAGGTCAGTTCCAGCTTGATTACTCCAAGTCTTGTGTCCAAAATATGTCCTGTCTTCAACAACAGGGTCTTGCCTTCAAGTTATGGGAAGCAATCAAGGGCTGTGGCAATATCTTGTATTATTTTGGGCGTCTCCTAGAGTGCCCTGACCAACAACTCGAAGGAAGGGTTCTCCTGCCTGGCACTGTGTTTTTTGTTATATAGCCTTCAGCTATACACATACACTCATATACATATTGTATGT